TATAACAGAGAACCCCAAAAGATCATTCCCAAGGGTAGTGGGAATGATTAAAATAAGCTTCAGGAAAAATAAACTTCTTTATTTTTATTTTTTAAGTTATTATTATTATTATTAAAATAAGCTTAAGGAAAAAGAGAGCTAGCTTTTATGGAATTTGTGTCTCCAATGCAGACCTCTTCTCTCAGTCCAGACCTGAATATCCACTTCCCACTTACCAAAAATAATCTGGCATTCAAGTAATTAAATGAAACCACATGTCGTTTTTTTTGGTTTTTTTTTTGAAACAGAGTCTCACTCTGTTGCCTAGGCTAGAGTGCCATAGTGTCAACCTAGCTCACAGCAACCTCAAACTCCTGGGCTTAAGAGATCCTCCTGCCTCAGCCTCCAGAGTAGCTGGGACTACAGGCATGCACCACTATGCGTGGCTAATTTTTTCTATATATTTTTGGTTGGCCAATTAATTTCTATTTTAGTAGAGACGGGGTCTCGTTCTTGCTTAGGCTGGTTTTGAACTCCTGGCCTTGAGCGATCCACCTGCCTTGGCCCCCCAGAGTGCTAGGATTACAGCCATGAGCCACTGCACCCAGCCTAGACTCAATTTCTTGAAATTAAAGACTCTGTCTTACTCAGATTTGAATATATAGAGAGGCAATATAACATACTGGTTAAGAACTCAGGATTTAAAGACAAGTTGAGTTTCATCTAGCCTCTAATGCTTACTGTGTTACTTGAAGGCAAGTGACTACTCAACTTCTTTGTATATCAGTTTCTTCATCTATAAAATAGGTATAAAATAGTACTTACCTTACAAGGTTATTGTGAAGATTAGCTAAAAGTATGCACGTAGGCCGGGTGTGGTGGCTCATGCCTGTAAACCTAGCACTCTGGGAGGCTGAGGCAGGAGGATTGCTCAAGGTCAATTCAAAACCAGCCTGAGCAAGAGCGAGACCCCATCTCTACTAAAAATAGAAAGAAATTAATTGGCCAACTAAAAATATACAGAAAAAATTAGCAGGGTATGGTGGCATATGCCTGTAGTCCCAGCTACTTGGGAGGCTGAAGCAGGAGGATCGCTTGAGCCCAGGAGTCTGAGGTTGCTGTGAGCTAGGCTGATGCCATGGCACTCTAGCTGGGGCGACAAGAGTGAGACTCTGTCTCCAAAAAAAGAAAAACATTAATAGGAAGGATAATCTCTACTTAGCTGCCTCACTACTATGTGGATCAAATGAAATAAAGTACATTATCCTACTATGTTGAGTAGTGACTAAGTAGTTTAAGATATTCTTTTAAAGTCTTCTTTGTTAAACATAGTATGTAGCCAAAAAGATAGCTAAGGATTTTAAAAACCAATTTTAGGAACACTTGGTAGTGTCCTCTTCTGGTGGCTTTCCATAAAGAATCATGATTTTCTTATCAAAAACTAATTGCTCTGGAAAAAGTTAACCAATGTGTTCAGCAGCTAAATGTAGATATTAGGAGACGTTTGCCAATTTGCGGATAAAAATTAATCAACAGACATCTCTTGTAATCTTAAGTTTCTCCCATAGATTCTTCTTAAATATTTAGCAGCTGCTACAACTTGGGTCTACTAGAGCCTAACATGTGATATCTAGTTCAAGTCATTCATTAATTCAACAAATGTTGACTGGCTGCTCACTGTGCCAGGTGCTAGGCTAGAATAGAAAATCAAGGCATAGTGCCTGCCTTCTTGGGGTACAAACTTGCATGTTTATTTACCTTCACTATATAATTCTGTGGCTATGCAAAGTACACCTCATAGTGAGAATGAAGCCCTCTGATATTGTACAGTGCACAACTTACATATTCCAGCACACGGCAGCCCTGAAGTCTAACACAGGTTTCTCAACCTGGCACTATTGACATTTGAGGATGGATAATTCTTTGTTGTGGGGGGCTGTCTTGTGCATTGTATGTTTAGCAGTATCCCTGGCTTCTACCCACTAGATATATCACCCCCCCATGTGACAACCAGAAATGTCTGCAGACATTGCCAAATGTCAGAGAGGGGGAGCAAAATTGCCCCTTTTTGAGAACTACTATTCTAACATTAGTAGCTAGTAAGTAGCAGAGGAAGATTTAGGACCCAGATTTAATTTTTTCTCAAAATAATGCTTTCATTGCAAAAGTAATGTATGATCATTGTCAAAATTCAAACCCAGCAGCTCACAGAGAGTAAGAATTCAGGCCAGGCACAGCAGCTCATCCCTGTAATCCCAGCACTTTAGAAGGCTGAGGCAGGATTGCTTGAGGCCAGGAGTTCAAGACCAGCCTGGGCAACATAGTGAGACCCCATCTCTAAAAAAATTTGAAAATTAGCCAGGCACTGTGGCACAAAAAATTAAAAAATTAGCTGGGCATGGTGGTGCATGCCTATAATCCCAGCTACTTGGGAAGCTGAGGCAGGAGGACTGCTTAAACCCAGGAGTTTGAGGTTGCAGTAAGATATGATAATGCCACTGGACTCTGGCACAGGCAACAAAGTAAGACCCTGTCTCAAAAAAAAAAAAAAGTAAGCATTTTCCCTTTCTCCCTCTCCTCCTCCCCGTCTCCCTTCCTCCATGGGTAACCACTGTTAAGTTTAATGTGTAGAAATTACACACATGCACACACACAGGAAGAAAAATGTTTTCATTTCTGCAACTTGCTTTTTTTATCCAGTACTATAATGTGAGTAGATTTCTATCCCCATTCTTTCTTCATAAACTGCAAAGTGGTCCACATTATGGGTGTATCATGCTTTCACTACTGATGGGCTTTTATATAGTCTTCAGTTTTTGGTCATTTCTAATAATGCTATAATGAGAAAATGTTGTAATTAACATCCTTGTACATCTATTTTTCCATACCTATGCAAAGATTTCCATAGCACTGACTCTTAGAAGTAGAACTGCTGAGTCAAGGGGATGCATTCCTTTTCTTCACCGGCTGCCATAAGAATGAAATAAGATAATGCATCTAAAAAGGCTTGTAAGAGTACTGTATATTATACATTCCCAATTCATAATCAAGGCATTCCCAGAGTAGTTAATCTTCCCCTTTAAGTCTCCTTGTATCTTTATGTTATCAAAAAGTGACTTGTACTCGTTTTTTAAAAATCCTCATTGCAGCAGTCCTAGGAGGGCTATTTTAAGCAACTCCAAGATAAAGCAGTGAACATAATCAACCATTGTGAAAATGAGGAGAAATTGATCTATATCCAACATTTTCAATGTGACAAATAAGTATGCTTACCAATCGTTATTTTAAGTATCCCAGATAATATACAGAGGGATGTTTAATTCACTCCAGGATTTTCATTATATTTCATATTGATTTTTATCAGAATTATAGGATAAAGTTACATTGTAACTGATATGCTTTAGCAAACTTAATTTAACACCTTGCCCTGACTCTCAGAACCACTTGCAGTAAGAAAATGACCTTAGGCAGTATTAAATTTAGGTTCAGTCAGCAGTTCTCAAGGAGAGGAGACAACCTTCACATTTAAAAGAAAAGTTTCAGCATCATCAAATCAAGTAAATGCAGAGTTCAGTGTCTTAATTTGGGGCCATAAATCTCTCAATCGGCAATAAATATGTATTATGAGCTAGTACATTTAGAGAATCATGAAGCAAAACACCTAATGACACATGAAGTTGCTTGCTATAGGCTGTATGACCCTGATAAGACTCATACAAATTTCCTTCTTAGAAATGTCCGATTATGAATGGACTGGATAAAATACAGAAAAGTAAAGACAGCTGCTTTGTTAGGACAGCAGGATAACACCTTTTTCTTAGTTTCCATTCGTCTTATGCTGTTTGGGCTGCAATTCATTGTTAATTCACTATTTCCATAATTACTTTCATCAGATACCCTTGAGAATTCACCAAATTGATATGAACAGGGAATTGTCTACAACCTTGGTACTTCACTGTGGTGAAGTACCACTGAGCGACAACAGCCACATCACCTGGAAGAGGGTTAAAAATGCAGAATCTTAGGCCCTGCCTTTGACCTACTCAGTCAGCATTTACCTTCCCAGGGGATCCTTGTGTGCATTAAGGTTTGAAAAGCCCTTGTCAATAAAATCTAGACCAGCGATTCTCAAGGGGTGGGGAGTGTGGGGAACAACTTTGTCCTCCAGGCACATTTGACAGTGTCTGGTGGGTGTCAGTGGGTGTTACTGGCATCTTGTGGGTAGAGTACAGGAGACTGGTAAACATCCTGCAAAGCACAGGAAAACCCCTCCTCCAAAACAAAGAATTGCTCAGTCCAAAATTTCAGAGGTTGAGAAACTCTGAGTTTTGTCCAATTCCATATATACCATTGACTATAAAATAAAAAGAAAACCAAATAGAAGTAAAACCCCAAAGTTCATATTGTCTTTTCTGTCAGAATTCAAATATTCATATTTAACTTCTATTTTTACTGGTAAAAGGCTATATTCTATAACTTCCACTTTAGAAGAAAAGAACATGAAGTCACTGAATTAACAGTATTAGAAACAATATCATGTTTCCCCAAAATAGGAACAAAACATCTAAATTAACATTTTCATCATAGAATAAAAAAGAACCATTAAAAAATAATCCTATCATATTATCATTATTAAACTATACCTATGCTGTTGTGTAGAGCAGATTTCTAAAGAAACAAATTCTATCAGCAATAACGTCTGGGAAAAAAGAAAAAAAAACAAATTCTACACTTTTTCCAAAAACTGTTTCAATATTTAACGACTGCTGTTGTCACATGATTATTTAATACTGAATTTAAATTATCATCTGAAAGAATTTAATTTCAATTCTTTGGGAAGAAAAATAATGCTATTAGAATAAAAATGATATTCTGTACTGAAATTACTGAAAGAAAAACTCATATCCTAATTTTTAAAAAGTACTTGCTAGATGTGGGGGGGCTCTAAGGCAGCGAGGGCACCGGAGCAGGTTCCAGGAATTGAAAGAAGAAACCAGCAGCATCAGGCAGGCGAGACATACTCTTCATTGTTGGGGTGAAGCTGCGAGCAGCGCAAACATGGCGAGTTCTTATGTATGGCTCAGAACCAGAGTGAAAGCACGAGCATATGGGTTCACATAGGCGATAACACCATGGTAACATGAGCGTGCTGACTCATGCCTTACTGGAAGGCCAGGCTGGGAAAATGCTGGCAGTCATTTGAGTTTGGCCTAAGAACCCTATTGGCCACACAATGGATTTCCCGTGCATTCCACCCATGGGCAACAGGGTTCACTGCCAACACTCAGAACCATAGGGAGGCCCCTTGGGCCCAAAGTCCACAACAGCACAGGGAGCAACACAGTGTCATCAGACTACAGCAGGCAGCTCCCAGCACTGAAAGTGTTCAACACCAGGATGACGAGAGGCACCCCCACCACTACTGCACTGGGTCTCCAGTTAACTGTTGGATGGCCTGTACCTTGCCATCAACTTCCTTTAATGCAGCGGAGACACCTGCCTGGTAATTGGGCATATATACACGACATTCAGTATGTAGGACTGCTCATGTGCCCCTTTGGGCTGCAGTAAGGAGATCAAGGGTCATGTGGTTTTACAAAATCGCCTCTCTCATCTGGGGGACCTCATCCATGCAAAGAGTCAAGGCCTGCCTGGTTTGATTCAGGGCCTGAGCAGTATGCTCAGCTAGAGCATTCACTTCTATCTCTACCTTAATGGCTCCAAAACCAGGGAAAAAGATGGCTACCAGGTAGAACCACCATGGAGTTTGTTTCACCCAATGCCAGCAGAAAACACGGCATTACAATTACGTGGTTTCTCGGTGAAGGTGGGAGGACCTTCCCTGGGATATATGGCCATCCCCAAGTGCACCTTCCCATCCAACAGGCAGGAAGATAACGCCACCCATAATGGGCAGTACCCTACTAGCCAACTTTGGGCTTTCTATGTAAGTAACCAGACAATGAAGCTCTTAGACATGGTGAGTTATCAGTGCAGACAAAGGCAACAGCTCGCGCACAGCCACAATCCACACGGCACACAATTCAGCCCACTGGCTGCTCTACTCCTGTCCTGCTTCAAACCAAATTTCATCATGATCAAACCGTATAGCCACTGCCATCCACTGGGCTGAGGGGCCACAATCGGACCCGTCGGCATGCCATGCCTCCACTAGAGGGGGACCCCATCCTTCAAGGTACGGGCCCTCTTCCCTAGGTATTACGGTGGTCTGAGGGTCAGCATCAGACACAAATTCAAGAGGACGCAGTACTGTCTGCAACTCTGCAATCAAAGGGCTGGCGCTGAACTCTGCTCATTGCTCCAAGTAAGCTCCCACTTCACCAGAGTGGGCATCTGGGCTTACCCTGATCGTGGTCTGGTTATCCATGACCTCACCCATCCTGCTATGGGATACGTGGTGTAACTAGCACTTTAGACTGCCCAGCTATGGCTCACAGGCCTGAAGGGCAGCATACAGAGCTGCCTGCCGCTTTTCCACCAAGTAATAGTGCTCTTGGGGCCCTTCCAAGTCTGGGAGAAAAACCTGATAGCGACCCGCTGCTTATGCTGGCACTGCCACAGACCCCAGCCCATCCAGCTTGAGTCGACTGTCAAATCGAGGCCAAACAGCTGTGAGTGGTCAACCACTTGTAGCATCTGGGCTTCCATGACAGCCCTCTTGGCTGCCATAAAAGCGGCTTCTGCTTCAGGGGACAAGTCCCACTCCGTCCCCTTCTTACATAATGCATGCAAAGGCTGTAACAATTGGGCCAAGTGGGGAATGAATATACGCCAGTACCCCAAGAGCCCTACAAACACTTTTAACTGTTTCACCATAGTGGGTCAGAGGAAGGCTTGACTCTTATCTATAATGGCCTTGGAGACTGCTTTCATCTTACCCAACCAGACAACACCCAAGAATTTGACTGACAAGCCAGGTCCCTGGACCTTGGAGTCGTTTACCACCTAACCCCATTGTTCCAACGAGGTTCAAAAGCTGGTAGTGGCTTCTTCTAGATCTGTAAGGGAACCAGAGGTTACCATTATATCATCAATATAATGAAACAAATAACACTGAGGATGGCTGACTCCATGTGACCAAGTCCTGTGCCACCAAAACATGACATGTATGGGCTGTGGAGGTGACCTTGTGGTAACACCACAAATATCCACTGACATCCTTCCCATGTGAAGGCAAGCTTGTCTTGACTGCCCATAGCTATGGAGAAAAAGGCGTTGGCCAGCTCCATGTCGTGGTGCTGCCCAAGCACCAAAGTCAATTGATCCATCAGATCCAGTATGGATGGCACCGCTGCATGCAATGGGGGAGTCACTTTATTCCGTTCTCAATAGTCCACTGTCATTCTCCAAGATCCATCCCGTTTCTTAACTGGCCAAACAGGAGAGTTGAATGGACTGTGAGCAGGGTGCACTTTACCGGCCTCTTCCAACTGCAACATGGTCTGTGAAATTCTTCATGCCCCCTGGGCAAATGATACTATCAGGTGCATGCCACACGACGAGGCGTGGGCAAAACCTGTGGTTGGTGATGGGCGTGGCCACGTACCACTGGCTTCACAACCCTAACTTGGAGACAGAACTCACCCACAGAGGTGGTTAGGGTTAAGCCATGCAAAATGCCAACACCCAGAATATATCCCTTCACCAGGGACACATACACAGCAATGGGTGGCCAAACACTCTATCCCCAGTGGAATAGTCACTTGCTTAACTATAACAGTTTGTCCACCATAGCCATCTGTGAAGGCTGTCTGTCTAGCAAACTGCTCAGGGTTTCCATAGATCAGAGAACAGTCAGTGCCCATGTCCACCAAGGCCAAAACCCGCTGCACATTTGTAGGGGACCAATGAATAGCAAGTTCCACGTATAGCCTCTGGTCCTCTGGGGTCCCCTCTAACGGGTGCCTTGGCCTAACCCTTAATCCATATAAAAGAGGGAGGCTTCAACCATAAAATCTTGCAGCCACACATTACAGGTCTCCTCGACAGGCGTCTCAGTTCTCTCCTTCTTGGGTACTTTCATTTATCGCTGGTGGGGAGCCAGCTGATTCCACAAAGCCAGGAATACTGCATTAGGCTGTCTACCTTCTCTTTATTCCTGCTAGTATGAGATCTAGCCACATCTGGGTTCACAACACCTTTTGGGCCCCTTGTCCTGACTTCTGCAGGGGCCCTGACTTTATGGGCTCTTTTTGGGTCCTTGTAGTATATGGACTTGTCCGTTTCCTCCTTTCGGTCCTTTGGCTTCCCCCACATAGGGGGTGAGCACAGCGCCAGTGAACTAAACAAGTGGGGGCAGACAGGATTGTGGCTAGGATTAGTAGTGAAGCATTCCTCGTCCCCCGTCAGTTAATTATCATAAAAATGGCTTGGCGCATCCCCAACTCCCACAGCTCCATGGTGTGCACGAGGAGCATGAGGAACACCCCGCCACTGTGGGTGCACCCTGCGCAACCCTGTGGTCCCACAGTTGCTCCTGCTCCATTCTGTTTCACAGCCAGGCCGGCACTCAGCAGGGGAGGGTCCCGCTCTCAGTCGTGCACACGCTTTAGTTTCATCTGAGTCCGCAGCTGATGCCCTCATTAACTCCTTCTCTAAAGCCTGTAGGCTTCCAAATTCTCTTCTGTCACCTGTAATTCTCTTACCAGGACTTTAAGCTGCAGGGTATCTTCATGCTGTTCACTGAGGGCTGGAAGGAAGACCCAGCCCACCTGGCCAGCCGGAGCTCGCTCTTTAGCTTGCAGTGACTATTCCAAGGCCCACATGGCCTTTTCCAGGGCAGCAAGCATACATGCCACCTGCTCCCACTCCGTGGCAGGGCCCACAACATGAGGACCACTGCCACCGGCTGCCACAAGCCCTTGAGACACCACATATCCTCTCCTACTGGGGCGGAGGGGACACTTTCCCTACAGAGTCCTGCCAACTATGCCAATTGTGGGGAGGAATCTCTGGGGCCAGTGAGGGTACCCAAGCAGCTTCCAGGAATTAAAAGAGAGGAGCAGCAGCAGGCAGGTGAGACACACTCTTTATTGTCGGGGTGAAGCCATGGCAGTGAGAATGTGGAGAGTGCTTATATATAGCTCAGAGCCATAGTGGCAACATGCCACGCAAGAGTGTGGTCACAGGGGTTCACATAGCAGATAACAACATGGTTACTTAAGTGTGCTCACTCATGCCTTACCAGAACCATAGTGGCAACATGCCATGCAACAGTGTGGTCACGGGTTCACATAGGAGACAATGCCATGGTTACATAAGTGTGCTCACCTATGCCTTACCCAAAAGCCGGGGAAAACACCCTGGTAGTCATCTCAGTTTGGCATAATAAACCTATTGCCTATACAAATGCATTTTCCCTTACGCTAGATCTAATTTGTAGATAATAGGTTGGGAAAAAAAACCCTATTCTGACAATTGATTGAAAACCTCAGAATTCCATCAATAGGCTACCTTAATAAACTCAAGTACACCTGCAACATATTAGAAAAATAAAACCCTACCTTTCAGTTGCTCACATTCTTGTTCATAGAGCATATTTAGTATTTGCTAGGAAACAATTTTTAATTTCAAATTAAATTGTGTAAAAGGTTTATCTAAGGAATGCATGTAGATAATATGTACAGCTAACAGCCACTATAAGTGTATTTCTGTTAACTTCTGAAAATGTTAATGAAATGACTAAAGGTGAGAATAAAAAATCTTTAGTAGTTCTCGTCTTCTATGATTTTATTTTCCTTTCAATGAAGAATGCAGCCACTACATATACTAAAAATAAAGTTTCAACCATTTAAAATGTCACACAGCTAAGAAATATAACTGACTAATGACCATCTAATTTCCATAAGTCACTGTCCTAATCACAGTTAGGTCAGTTTAAAGTCTTACATTATTTTAATGTAGTAGTTAATTATACTTTAATACAGACCAAATTGCCTTCTGAGCCACTTTCCACAGCTCCATGACCTTCCATCAACCAAACAGGTATGGCTGCTAGCTGACTAGGTATTTTCTTTACCTGGGGACTGACTCACATAAAACCATAAAGATTATTGTTAAGAATCTAAGATGAATATGAAAACAATATAATGTAAACATAAAAGTAATTATAGTTGAAAGGACTTAAAAAAAACCTACTACTACTCTTTCATTTTAAAGAGGGAGAGAGAAGGAATCAGCAAGGTCAAGTAATACACCCAGGGAAACACAGCCAGTTAGTGGCAGGTCTCCTGACTCTGCAAAGTACTTTAGGTCACCTACATTCAAAGGCAGTTGTACACAAAAGCATATGAACATTTAGGAGCAAGTGTGTAATTGCATCATCTATTCAATATCCTTTGCTCTTCAAGATGATCATTTATTAAGAGCACACAGAATCTTAGAATTTTAGAGGTAGAAGAGAGAGCCTTTTATGATCTGCTACCTTACAGGTGAAGAAATTAATATTCAGAGAGATGATACTGTTCATTCATCTATTCCACAAACATTCACTGGGCTCCTACAATAAGGTAAGTCTGGGGATACAAAGATAAACAGGGTAACAATCACAGTCCTTAAAGAGCTCACACAGGACAAAGAGAAAAGAAAACATAAAAGTGATACAACCAGATGGTCACCATAAGAGAAATATTCACTCAGTAAAGGGCAGAAGGCAGGGAGTAGTAACACTGATCACCACGCATGAAGAGAGAGCGCTATTTACATCATTTAGTACTTGGCTACAACATTTTATATTAAAATAAATAAAACGGATTTTTAAAGTTCCAGTTCTCACCAAAAGGGGTAGGGAACCACCATTTTCTAGCCTGTGAGGCACTATGCCTGGCATTTTATATATATTATTTAATCTTGAAAATGACTCTGAGACATAAGCAGTATTATCCCCATTTTTCAAAGAAGGAAGCCAGCAGAGAGAAGTTTGTCCAAGGCAGGATACACCTGAGCCATTATTTGAATCCAGGTTTGTCTGGCTCCAAAATCACATTACTTTCTGTTAAGCCATAACTCTTTCTGCACAGGATTTTCTTCGTTTAAATCACCTTCCACCTTATTTCTCTTCAGTCTACATTAATAACTGTGAAGACTGTATTTATTAAGGAATACATCCTGCAATAATTCTAGTCTTCAAAGTTATTACTTTCTAATAATCATAGTTTAAAAACCTTAACAAAGGAAAGGCAAGAAAAAGTTCTTCTTGTATCCAAACAATGTTTCCTCGATTTAAGAAACTCATTCATAGAGACTCAAATATAAATGCAAATATAGAGAAGTTCTGCTATCACATCTTGCTTAAAACATTCTCACCTTCTCTATGTTAGGATCACACCAGAGGTGCTCCGTAAATGCTAGTACTTTTCTTCAAGGTATTGAGAGGGCTGACTTGAAAAGGTTCTAGCGCACTTGAAATTTGAAGAAGTACTAAGCATTTTCTTTCGTTGTTTCTGTTCTGGTTCAAAGCGTCCTGATAAGCAGCGAAACGCCTGCTCCACCGGAGCCGGCGGAGAACTCTGGACGGAAACGACCGGCCTGGACGCCGGCGGCCGCCTAGCCTTCTAGAGCCAACGCGCGCGGCTTCGCGCAAAAGGAGTTACGGCGCGCCGGGGCCGGGGGGCCGGGGGCCAGGGCCAGGGCCTGGGCGGGGGGCCGGGGGCTGGGGGTCGGAGGGCCGGGGACCTGGGGGTCGGGGGGCCGGGGACCGGGGTCGGGGGGCCGGGGACCGGGGTCGGGGGGCCGGGGACCGGGGGGCCGGGGCGGGCCGTCCCTAGCAGAGCGCCCGCCCCGCGCCGCCTTTCTCGGAACAGCGCGCCTGCCCCGCGCCGCCGCGCTCGGACAGGCGGGCCGGCGCGGCACTGACACTCCGCCCCCCGGAGAAGAGCCCGAAGCGCCCCTCCACAGTTTCCAGCGCGCCCGCGCCCGCGCCGCGCTCACCTGCGGGCGCGCTGGCCCCCGCGCCGGCCCTACCGCCGCACCCCGCGACCAGCTGGGCCAGAAAGAGGAGGACGCGGAGCCCATGCGACCCCAAGTCCGGCGCCGCCATGGCCCCGCACGCGCTGGGACCGCGGGCTGGGGGGCAGCGCCGAGCGCGTGTCGGAGCAAAGGGAGCACAGCGCCACCGAGGGCTCCTCAGCTCTGGCAGGCGCGGCCACCTCAGCCGCGCGGCTCCTGCGGGCTCCGGGCTGGAGGAGGCTCCCAGCGCCCGCCCGCCCCGTGCCGTCCACTCGTAGCCCCGCCCCGCCCCCTGTTGTCCACTCGTAGCCCCGCCCCGTGCCGTCCACTCGTAGCCCCGCCCCGTGCCGTCCACTCGTAGCCCCGCCCCGTGCCGTCCACTCGTAGCCCCGCCCCGTGCCGTCCACTCGTAGCCCCGCCCCGTGCCGTCCACTCGTAGCCCCGCCCCGCCCCCTGTTGTCCACTCGTAGCCCCGCCCCGTGCCGTCCACTCGTAGCCCCGCCCCGTGCCGTCCACTCGTAGCCCCGCCCCGTGCCGTCCACTCGTAGCCCCGCCCCGTGCCGTCCACTCGTAGCCCCGCCCCGCCCCCTGTTGTCCACTCGTAGCCCCGCCCAGTCCCAGCCCTACCTCTAATCCAGCCCTGCCTTTTCCACGCGAGGTCCCGCCCTGCCCCACTGGCCGGCCTGGAGGCCCTGTTTCCTGCAGGTGTGACCTTGGAGCGAGTCTCAGGAGGAAGGGGTGGCCCAAGGCTGGCATCACAGGAGCGTCCTTTTCCAACCACCGGGTGACCTTGGCCAAATGATTGCATACCTAGGATAACAGCCATTAATTGATGTCTGCTCTGTGCTCAGCACCAAAAGGGAAAACAGATGGACAGACTGCTCCCAGCAGACAGAAACCTGGCAAACGTAAATAAAGTGATCAAAGCACGAAAGACACAAGCAGGAGGCTGACAAAATGACAGTGGTAGGGGGCTTGCTCTGAGCTCCAGGCCGCAGCCCTCTTCACTCGGCCTCACTACCCACTAACTTCTTCCTTAGCAGGAAGATACCAGAGCAGCCTGTCGGCCTCACTGGGCTATGGTGGGGGCCAAGGGACCCCCATCAGCAGACCTGTGTTCTAGACCAGTGAGCTGACCCTGGGCAAATCGCCCTTCCTTTATGGGTCTGTTTCCTCGTCCTTAAAACGAGGTGGATACACTAGAGTGCTCAAGAAAGTACTGACACCCACCCAAGCCACCCATTGCCTCAAACGTGGGCAGTGCCCTCCCTGTTGCCATCAATTAACATTTGTAAATATTAGTGCCTCCGTCTGTCACGGACACTTAGCAACTTCAGTGGAGATTGATGCTGACTGCTGGAATCCCAGCTCAAATCCCTCTAGGCCCTGTATTTCATCCCCTCTGTTCATAATTGATTAGAAAGCTTCATTTGGCCGAAGGGATTCAGGTGAATTATCTTTAAACTTCAGTGGCAAAACATGCCACTGACTCTTCACAAAAACCTTTATGGAGTTGACTCTTCTAAGACTCATTGTGAGCAGAAATTTCACTCCAAGCTCCAGACTTGGTAAATCTGTGGAAAACTAAACGTGGTTGCAAAGAATCTGAACAGCAAAATTCAGTTAAGATTTTTGTCTTAGGTTCAAGTATAAGCAGGAAAATGGAAACTATATCCAGTGAGGCTGATCTGTCTAAGCAGGACTGAACGAAGGGACAGGAAGGGAGTCGTGGGATGATAACTAGGTTAGTTGGGTGGTACACTTCTGCACAGGAGTCAAAGACAGGGCCTCTCATCCTTTCACTGCAGATTTATATTTTGCTCTGAAGAATTTATGGGGCTTATAGACATTTATGCAATTCATCCTCAGAGTGTTTGGATGGCTTTAAAGTGTTCTGCTTTCACAGCTAAGTGATTTGAAACAGGGGAGTTGAATATCTGCTAGAGGTCACAGTATCTGTCAATGGCAAAACTAGGACTAAGTGGTTATTTTAGCATAGCAAGAATAATTGGAACTCCCAGACCTCCCCAGAGTGTTATATCAATAACCATGAGAAAAAGTGGCTATTTATATAATCTCTGAAAAACACCATTAGTTTTTGTTATTGAGAGGCAAAGTGTGTCATTTGTTGGGCACTTTAAAACCCAAGCAAATAATCATAGACTATAATGTATGCATCTTGGATGGGCTTTGTTCTAGCAGGTGTGCCAATTGCGCACGGTTGCTAGGTGCGGTAGCTGCACCTGACTCTGCTAACAGGCATCTGCACACTGCTAGGAGACACTGGCTGATCAAATGTCAATGAAAACTGCTGCCGTTGCTGCAGCCACCACCTACAAAATCCCCTAAAGTAGCATCTAACAGCTCTCTGGGATTTCACTAAAGGGCTGTCACACAGTTTTTGCGTCCCAGACCCCACATTTTCCTCTGAAGATTATGGAATTTTTATTTCACTTTACTGTCTTCACTTGTCCTGCTCCTTCATTTTTCTGAATATCTAAACCCGCCCTTTCTTCAAGGCCCATTTTAAATGCCACTTGCCTTCTCTTTGTTTGTTTCTCTTATGTCTTCTACTAGAGATAATGAGCTTCTCAGCCTGGGGCGCATGTCTTACTCATCTTTATAATACCCACTAGGCAGTCAGTACCTTGCCAGAGAGTAGAATCTAGTAATTATCATATTAACCCTGTTAAGTAACGGAAAATGTAATGCATTAAGCATTTTTAAATATACCAGCTTATTTAATCTCAAATAATATTGAAGAGCAGTACTTTGATTATCCTTGTTGAGTTTTGGCCAATCCTTTCTGAGTTCTCTTGGCAGGTTCCTCCTTTTCCACTGGGCTCTAAGTGTTGGAAGTTCCATAGGCTCAAATGTGGGACTTTTTCTCTTGTCTCTGTATACTCCCTCACTTGGTGATCTTATCCATTTATCTAGCTTTAAATTCCATCCATATACTGACAACAACCAGATTCATACTCAGGTACTGATCTCACCTCTGAGCCCCAGTGTATCTGACTATGTATTGGACATCATTGTCACTTGAACATGTCACTTAATATGTCCCAAACCATTTTAACCTCTTGGTCTTCCCACCTCAATCAATGCTACCACCATCCAACTAATTACTCAAGCTAGAAACCTGGAAAGTCATCCTTAGTTCCTCCCTCTGCTTCACTCACCAAGTCTGAGGCAACCTTCAGTGCTATTCACCTTGAATTTATCTTGAATCCATACCCTACTTCTCCTCTCCACTCCTGCTCTCCCCAAATGCATCTCCAGCGTAGACTCTGCCCAGGCTCTCAGCTGGGCCTCTTCCCTGCACCTCCACGTACTCTGCAGATGGCAGCCTCAGCGATCATCTTAAAATAGAAACCAGGCCGGGCGCGGTGGCTCACGCCTGTAATCCTAGCACTCTGGGAGGCTGAGGCGGGAGGATCGCTTGAGGTCAGAGACCAGCCTGAGCAACAGTGAGACCCTATTTCTACTAAAAATAGAAAACATTAGCCGGGCATGGTGGCGCATGCCTGTAGTCCCAGCTACCTGGGAGGCTGAGGCAGGAGGATCGCTTGAGCCCAGGAGTTTGAGGTTGCTGTGAGCTATGATGACGCCACGGCACTCTAGCCTGGGTGACAGAACAATACTCTGTCTCAAAAACAAAAACAAAAACAAAAAAAACAAATCCCAACTCCAAGTCCTTGCCATGATTCTAAGAGTGCCCCTGCTGCCCTCACAAGCTCCACATCAAGCCCTTCCGGCTGGCACACTAAGCTCCAGCCACACTGGCCTCTCCAGTCCCCAGAACCACCGAGCCTGGTCCTGCCCAAGGGCCTTAACACATGCTGTTCCCTCTGCAGAGACTCTTCCCCTGCCTCACCTCCCTGCTTAGCCTAACTCTATTCCTCCTTCACCACTGGGCTTGTCCCCTCTGATGTGAATGCAACCTCTCCTCTTCTGTCACTCTCCATCACTGTCCCCTGTCCCCTCCCTCCACCACATCTGTTAGCATTTGTAGCTGCATGCTTCTGTGATGTGTTGGTGTGTCTGCTTCCCCTTGTACGGGGTCCCCAGCGTATGGTGAGTTGTATCATTATTTCATTCCGTATTACAATGTAATAACAATAGAAATAAAATGCTCAATAAATGTCATGTGCTTGAATCATCCCGAAACCATCCCCTACCTCCCTGTTCTGTGGAAAAATTGCCTTCCATGAAAACGGTCTCGGTGCCACAAAGGTTCGGGACCGCTGCGGAGATGACTAGCTCCAGACAGGCGGCGGCGGCTGTGTCTGCCCAGCCTCTTGAGCACGTGCTTGCTGCTCA